AAATGAGATTTAAAAAGATTACTAATGAAATTTATCTATACTATATTATAAAGCATTTGGCTAAAACTCTTAAAACTCTTAAAAACTCTTAAACCCGTTCATCCCTATCCGATTTCATCCCATATCTGAATTCGTGTAACTAATTGCAGATAAACACAATCAAATACAAGATAAACATTTTATTTTAAACATAAAAAATCTAAAATATAATTAGTATAATCATTGAGTTCTAACAGAATACTTAATTATTCTTATCTTTATAAAATGTTATATTGTTAAACAAAAAATAAATTATTTCATTATTAAACTTAAATTAAATTATATATAAAAATATATATTATATATTATAAATCATTTGACAAAAACTCTTAAAAACCACTTTTTATGCGTAAAATATTGTTTATTAATGCATATTACTTAAAACTCAATGTTACAAGTAAATTGTGCGTATGTACAACTTATTAAAGCTCCATATCTGAATTCGTGTAACTAACTGCAAATAAGCACAATCAAATACAGGATAAACATCTCATTTTAAATATAAAAAATCTAAAATATAATTAGAATAATCATTGAGTTCTAACAGAATACTTAATTATTCTTATCTTTATAAAATGTTATATTGTTAAACAAAAAATAAATTATTTCATTATTAAACTTAAATTAAATTTAAAAAAATAATATGTACTATATTATAAAGCATTTGTGTGATAACCAGATCTTGGTTATTACCCAAGGTATTTAATACGTGATTATTTTATTAAATAATTGTGTGATAGCATGATAAACTGATATGTTTGATACATGCTGGTATGCAAATTTGTGCATTTAATTGGATATATATATATATGTATAAAATATAAATGTATATATGTATTTATGCATGCAAATTATACATGAGTATGTATGCATGTGTGTATGCATGGATGCATGTGGGTAGCATGAGGTGGAAAGGGGAGTATGGAAGGCGGTTTGAGCCGACCTTCCATATTTGGGAGGTATAAAAGGGTAGTCTCTCTTCATTTGTTGACCCCTGCTATTTTGAGAGGATTTGAGAGAGTTTAAAGAAGTGTTGTCCGGTTTAGAAAAGGAGGTGATTTCAAGTTGGTTTCAAGTGTCAAGTTTCAAAAGGGATTGATTTCCAGCAGTTTGGTTTTAAAAGCTTTCTAAGGTGAGTGGTTTCTAAATCTTTTGTATAAAGATTCTACTAGTTTTATTTGCATGTTTCGTATTGTTCTTATTTGGAAAGAAACCTTGATTTTATTGTCTAAGTGTTTATCCGGACAAAGGGTGACCGGATAAGCATTTAAACCGGACAAGCCTTAAACGGTTTATTGTCCGGATTGTTTTAAACCGGACAAGCCTTGAGCGGCTTAGTGACCGGACTAGTTTTAAACCGGACAAGCCATGAGCGGTTTGTTGTCCGGAGTTGGTAAACCGGTTGAGTATTGAGCGGTTTATAAATGGTAGTAGTATTTATGATTTTAAACTGAGAAGTAGGAATACGACCATGTGGTGAGCGGTTTAGTCTTAAACCGGACGAGTCTTGAACGGACTGTTGTCCGGATTTCTTATCCATTCAAAATGTGAATTTATTCTAAGTGTAAACCGTTCAAAGAGTATGTGATGGGTTGACCAGATTAGATGTCCGGACAAAGTGGAATGTATTCCAAGTGTTTTAAACCGAACAGTTGTTGACCGGACTTGTTATGTTGACCGGATTTGTTGAGCGGACTTGTCGACCAGATTTGTGATGATGTCTTATGTTTTTGAAAGAAATTGTTATTTTATCTTAAAAATGAAGTTTTG